TAGTTCATCATATACACTACAAGTAAGTTCCCACAATGTGGAGGCACAAGATACATTTCGGACTCCTTACCTCTTCCGGTTCCCAAATTTGGTCCATTTGATGTTCCTCCCTTGGATTGAGACCGTTTCATCATGTTTCTCCTCATAGTCATGTATAGAACCTATTAATCCATGTTTGGGTAAGTATGGGTCCGTCTAGTTCATCATATACACTACAAGTAAGTTCCCACAATGTGGAGGCACAAGCTACATTTCGGACTCCTTACCTCTTCCGGTTCCCAAATTTGGTCCATTTGATGTTCCTCCCTTGGATTGAGACCGTTTCATCATGTTTCTCCTCATAGTCATGTATAGAACCTATTAATCCATGTTTGGGTAAGTATGGGTCCGTCTAGTTCATCATATACACTACAAGTAAGTTCCCACAATGTGGAGGCACAAGCTACATTTCGGACTCCTTACCTCTTCCGGTTCCCAAATTTGGTCCATTTGATGTTCCTCCCTTGGATTGAGACCGTTTCATCATGTTTCTCCTCATAGTCATGTATAGAACCTATTAATCCATGTTTGGGTAAGTATGGGTCCGTCTAGTTCATCATATACACTACAAGTAAGTTCCCACAATGTGGAGGCACAAGCTACATTTCGGACTCCTTACCTCTTCCGGTTCCCAAATTTGGTCCATTTGATGTTCCTCCCTTGGATTGAGACCGTTTCATCATGTTTCTCCTCATAGTCATGTATAGAACCTATTAATCCATGTTTGGGTAAGTATGGGTCCGTCTAGTTCATCATATACACTACAAGTAAGTTCCCACAATGTGGAGGCACAGAGATACATTTCGGACTCCTTACCTCTTCCGGTTCCCAAATTTGGTCCATTTGATGTTCCTCCCTTGGATTGAGACCGTTTCATCATGTTTCTCCTCATAGTCATGTATAGAACCTATTAATCCATGTTTGGGTAAGTATGGGTCCGTCTAGTTCATCATATACACTACAAGTAAGTTCCCACAATGTGGAGGCACAAGCTACATTTCGGACTCCTTACCTCTTCCGGTTCCCAAATTTGGTCCATTTGATGTTCCTCCCTTGGATTGAGACCGTTTCATCATGTTTTCCTCATAGTCATGTATAGAACCTATTAATCCATGTTTGGGTAAGTATGGGTCCGTCTAGTTCATCATATACACTACAAGTAAGTTCCCACAATGTGGAGGCACAAGCTACATTTCGGACTCCTTACCTCTTCCGGTTCCCAAATTTGGTCCATTTGATGTTCCTCCCTTGGATTGAGACCGTTTCAATGTTTCTCCTCATAGTCATGTATAGAACCTATTAATCCATGTTTGGGTAAGTATGGGTCCGTCTAGTTCATCATATACACTACAAGTAAGTTCCCACAATGTGGAGGCACAGAGTACATTTCGGACTCCTTACCTCTTCCGGTTCCCAAATTTGGTCCATTTGATGTTCCTCCCTTGGATTGAGACCGTTTCATCATGTTTCTCCTCATAGTCATGTAGAACCTATTAATCCATGTTTGGGTAAGTATGGGTCCGTCTAGTTCATCATATACACTACAAGTAAGTTCCCACAATGTGGAGGCACAGAGATACATTTCGGACTCCTTACCTCTTCCGGTTCCCAAATTTGGTCCATTTGATGTTCCTCCCTTGGATTGAGACCGTTTCATCATGTTTCTCCTCATAGTCATGTATAGAACCTATTAATCCATGTTTGGGTAAGTATGGGTCCGTCTAGTTCATCATATACACTACAAGTAAGTTCCCACAATGTGGAGGCACAGAGATACATTTCGGACTCCTTACCTCTTCCGGTTCCCAAATTTGGTCCATTTGATGTTCCTCCCTTGGATTGAGACCGTTTCATCATGTTTCTCCTCATAGTCATGTATAAACCTATTAATCCATGTTTGGGTAAGTATGGGTCCGTCTAGTTCATCATATACACTACAAGTAAGTTCCCACAATGTGGAGGCACAGAGATACATTTCGGACTCCTTACCTCTTCCGGTTCCCAAATTTGGTCCATTTGATGTTCCTCCCTTGGATTGAGACCGTTTCATCATGTTTCTCCTCATAGTCATGTATAGAACCTATTAATCCATGTTTGGGTAAGTATGGGTCCGTCTAGTTCATCATATACACTACAAGTAAGTTCCCACAATGTGGAGGCACAGAGATACATTTCGGACTCCTTACCTCTTCCGGTTCCCAAATTTGGTCCATTTGATGTTCCTCCCTTGGATTGAGACCGTTTCATCATGTTTCTCCTCATAGTCATGTATAGAACCTATTAATCCATGTTTGGGTAAGTATGGGTCCGTCTAGTTCATCATATACACTACAAGTATGTTCCCACAATGTGGAGGCACAGAGATACATTTCGGACTCCTTACCTCTTCCGGTTCCCAAATTTGGTCCATTTGATGTTCCTCCCTTGGATTGAGACCGTTTCATCATGTTTCCCTCATAGTCATGTATAAACCTATTAATCCATGTTTGGGTAAGTATGGGTCCGTCTAGTTCATCATATACACTACAAGTAAGTTCCCACAATGTGGAGGCACAGAGCTACATTTCGGACTCCTTACCTCTTCCGGTTCCCAAATTTGGTCCATTTGATGTTCCTCCCTTGGATTGAGACCGTTTCATCATGTTTCTCCTCATAGTCATGTATAGAACCTATTAATCCATGTTTGGGTAAGTATGGGTCCGTCTAGTTCATCATATACACTACAAGTATGTTCCCACAATGTGGAGGCACAGAGATACATTTCGGACTCCTTACCTCTTCCGGTTCCCAAATTTGGTCCATTTGATGTTCCTCCCTTGGATTGAGACCGTTTCATCATGTTTCTCCTCATAGTCATGTATAGAACCTATTAATCCATGTTTGGGTAAGTATGGGTCCGTCTAGTTCATCATATACACTACAAGTAAGTTCCCACAATGTGGAGGCACAGAGATACATTTCGGACTCCTTACCTCTTCCGGTTCCCAAATTTGGTCCATTTGATGTTCCTCCCTTGGATTGAGACCGTTTCAGTCATGTTTCTCCTCATAGTCATGTATAGAACCTATTAATCCATGTTTGGGTAAGTATGGGTCCGTCTAGTTCATCATATACACTACAAGTAAGTTCCCACAATGTGGAGGCACAGAGATACATTTCGGACTCCTTACCTCTTCCGGTTCCCAAATTTGGTCCATTTGATGTTCCTCCCTTGGATTGAGACCGTTTCATCATGTTTCTCCTCCTAGTCATGTAGAACCTATTAATCCATGTTTGGGTAAGTATGGGTCCGTCTAGTTCATCATATACACTACAAGTAAGTTCCCACAATGTGGAGGCACAGAGATACATTTCGGACTCCTTACCTCTTCCGGTTCCCAAATTTGGTCCATTTGATGTTCCTCCCTTGGATTGAGACCGTTTCATCATGTTTCTCCTCATAGTCATGTATAAACCTATTAATCCATGTTTGGGTAAGTATGGGTCCGTCTAGTTCATCATATACACTACAAGTATGTTCCCACAATGTGGAGGCACAGAGATACATTTCGGACTCCTTACCTCTTCCGGTTCCCAAATTTGGTCCATTTGATGTTCCTCCCTTGGATTGAGACCGTTTCATCATGTTTCTCCTCATAGTCATGTAGAACCTATTAATCCATGTTTGGGTAAGTATGGGTCCGTCTAGTTCATCATATACACTACAAGTAAGTTCCCACAATGTGGAGGCACAGAGATACATTTCGGACTCCTTACCTCTTCCGGTTCCCAAATTTGGTCCATTTGATGTTCCTCCTTGGATTGAGACCGTTTCATCATGTTTCTCCTCCTAGTCATGTATAGAACCTATTAATCCATGTTTGGGTAAGTATGGGTCCGTCTAGTTCATCATATACACTACAAGTAAGTTCCCACAATGTGGAGGCACAGAGATACATTTCGGACTCCTTACCTCTTCCGGTTCCCAAATTTGGTCCATTTGATGTTCCTCCCTTGGATTGAGACCGTTTCATCATGTTTCTCCTCATAGTCATGTATAAACCTATTAATCCATGTTTGGGTAAGTATGGGTCCGTCTAGTTCATCATATACACTACAAGTATGTTCCCACAATGTGGAGGCACAGAGCTACATTTCGGACTCCTTACCTCTTCCGGTTCCCAAATTTGGTCCATTTGATGTTCCTCCCTTGGATTGAGACCGTTTCATCATGTTTCTCCTCATAGTCATGTATAGAACCTATTAATCCATGTTTGGGTAAGTATGGGTCTGTCTAGTTCATCATATACACTACAAGTAAGTTCCCACAATGTGGAGGCACATAGCTACATTTCGGACTCCTTACCTCTTCCGGTTCCCAAATTTGGTCCATTTGATGTTCCTCCCTTGGATTGAGACCGTTTCATCATGTTTCTCCTCATAGTCATGTATAGAACCTATTAATCCATGTTTGGGTAAGTATGGGTCCGTCTAGTTCATCATATACACTACAAGTATGTTCCCACAATGTGGAGGCACAGAGATACATTTCGGACTCCTTACCTCTTCCGGTTCCCAAATTTGGTCCATTTGATGTTCCTCCCTTGGATTGAGACCGTTTCATCATGTTTCTCCTCATAGTCATGTATAGAACCTATTAATCCATGTTTGGGTAAGTATGGGTCCGTCTAGTTCATCATATACACTACAAGTAAGTTCCCAAATGTGGAGGCACAGAGATACATTTCGGACTCCTTACCTCTTCCGGTTCCCAAATTTGGTCCATTTGATGTTCCTCCCTTGGATTGAGACCGTTTCATCATGTTTCTCCTCATAGTCATGTATAGAACCTATTAATCCATGTTTGGGTAAGTATGGGTCCGTCTAGTTCATCATATACACTACAAGTATGTTCCCACAATGTGGAGGCACAGAGATACATTTCGGACTCCTTACCTCTTCCGGTTCCCAAATTTGGTCCATTTGATGTTCCTCCCTTGGATTGAGACCGTTTCATCATGTTTCTCCTCATAGTCATGTATAAACCTATTAATCCATGTTTGGGTAAGTATGGGTCCGTCTAGTTCATCATATACACTACAAGTAAGTTCCCACAATGTGGAGGCACAGAGATACATTTCGGACTCCTTACCTCTTCCGGTTCCCAAATTTGGTCCATTTGATGTTCCTCCCTTGGATTGAGACCGTTTCATCATGTTTCTCCTCATAGTCATGTATAACCTATTAATCCATGTTTGGGTAAGTATGGGTCCGTCTAGTTCATCATATACACTACAAGTAAGTTCCCACAATGTGGAGGCACAGAGATACATTTCGGACTCCTTACCTCTTCCGGTTCCCAAATTTGGTCCATTTGATGTTCCTCCCTTGGATTGAGACCGTTTCATCATGTTTCTCCTCATAGTCATGTAGAACCTATTAATCCATGTTTGGGTAAGTATGGGTCCGTCTAGTTCATCATATACACTACAAGTAAGTTCCCACAATGTGGAGGCACAGAGATACATTTCGGACTCCTTACCTCTTCCGGTTCCCAAATTTGGTCCATTTGATGTTCCTCCCTTGGATTGAGACCGTTTCATCATGTTTCTCCTCATAGTCATGTATAAACCTATTAATCCATGTTTGGGTAAGTATGGGTCCGTCTAGTTCATCATATACACTACAAGTAAGTTCCCACAATGTGGAGGCACAGAGCTACATTTCGGACTCCTTACCTCTTCCGGTTCCCAAATTTGGTCCATTTGATGTTCCTCCCTTGGATTGAGACCGTTTCATCATGTTTCTCCTCATAGTCATGTAGAACCTATTAATCCATGTTTGGGTAAGTATGGGTCCGTCTAGTTCATCATATACACTACAAGTAAGTTCCCACAATGTGGAGGCACAGAGATACATTTCGGACTCCTTACCTCTTCCGGTTCCCAAATTTGGTCCATTTGATGTTCCTCCCTTGGATTGAGACCGTTTCATCATGTTTCTCCTCATAGTCATGTATAGAACCTATTAATCCATGTTTGGGTAAGTATGGGTCCGTCTAGTTCATCATATACACTACAAGTAAGTTCCCACAATGTGGAGGCACAGAGACATTTCGGACTCCTTACCTCTTCCGGTTCCCAAATTTGGTCCATTTGATGTTCCTCCCTTGGATTGAGACCGTTTCATCATGTTTCTCCTCATAGTCATGTATAGAACCTATTAATCCATGTTTGGGTAAGTATGGGTCCGTCTAGTTCATCATATACACTACAAGTATGTTCCCACAATGTGGAGGCACAGAATACATTTCGGACTCCTTACCTCTTCCGGTTCCCAAATTTGGTCCATTTGATGTTCCTCCCTTGGATTGAGACCGTTTCATCATGTTTCTCCTCATAGTCATGTATAACCTATTAATCCATGTTTGGGTAAGTATGGGTCCGTCTAGTTCATCATATACACTACAAGTAAGTTCCCACAATGTGGAGGCACAGAGATACATTTCGGACTCCTTACCTCTTCCGGTTCCCAAATTTGGTCCATTTGATGTTCCTCCCTTGGATTGAGACCGTTTCATCATGTTTCTCCTCATAGTCATGTATAGAACCTATTAATCCATGTTTGGGTAAGTATGGGTCCGTCTAGTTCATCATATACACTACAAGTATGTTCCCACAATGTGGAGGCACAGAGATACATTTCGGACTCCTTACCTCTTCCGGTTCCCAAATTTGGTCCATTTGATGTTCCTCCCTTGGATTGAGACCGTTTCATCATGTTTCTCCTCATAGTCATGTATAGAACCTATTAATCCATGTTTGGGTAAGTATGGGTCCGTCTAGTTCATCATATACACTACAAGTAAGTTCCCACAATGTGGAGGCACAGAGATACATTTCGGACTCCTTACCTCTTCCGGTTCCCAAATTTGGTCCATTTGATGTTCCTCCCTTGGATTGAGACCGTTTCATCATGTTTCTCCTCATAGTCATGTATAGAACCTATTAATCCATGTTTGGGTAAGTATGGGTCCGTCTAGTTCATCATATACACTACAAGTATGTTCCCACAATGTGGAGGCACAGAGATACATTTCGGACTCCTTACCTCTTCCGGTTCCCAAATTTGGTCCATTTGATGTTCCTCCCTTGGATTGAGACCGTTTCATCATGTTTCTCCTCATAGTCATGTATAAACCTATTAATCCATGTTTGGGTAAGTATGGGTCCGTCTAGTTCATCATATACACTACAAGTAAGTTCCCACAATGTGGAGGCACAGAGCTACATTTCGGACTCCTTACCTCTTCCGGTTCCCAAATTTGGTCCATTTGATGTTCCTCCCTTGGATTGAGACCGTTTCATCATGTTTCTCCTCATAGTCATGTATAACCTATTAATCCATGTTTGGGTAAGTATGGGTCCGTCTAGTTCATCATATACACTACAAGTAAGTTCCCACAATGTGGAGGCACAGAGATACATTTCGGACTCCTTACCTCTTCCGGTTCCCAAATTTGGTCCATTTGATGTTCCTCCCTTGGATTGAGACCGTTTCATCATGTTTCTCCTCATAGTCATGTATAGAACCTATTAATCCATGTTTGGGTAAGTATGGGTCCGTCTAGTTCATCATATACACTACAAGTAAGTTCCCACAATGTGGAGGCACAGAGATACATTTCGGACTCCTTACCTCTTCCGGTTCCCAAATTTGGTCCATTTGATGTTCCTCCCTTGGATTGAGACCGTTTCATCATTTCTCCTCATAGTCATGTATAGAACCTATTAATCCATGTTTGGGTAAGTATGGGTCCGTCTAGTTCATCATATACACTACAAGTAAGTTCCCACAATGTGGAGGCACAGAGATACATTTCGGACTCCTTACCTCTTCCGGTTCCCAAATTTGGTCCATTTGATGTTCCTCCCTTGGATTGAGACCGTTTCATCATGTTTCTCCTCATAGTCATGTATAGAACCTATTAATCCATGTTTGGGTAAGTATGGGTCCGTCTAGTTCATCATATACACTACAAGTATGTTCCCACAATGTGGAGGCACAGAGATACATTTCGGACTCCTTACCTCTTCCGGTTCCCAAATTTGGTCCATTTGATGTTCCTCCCTTGGATTGAGACCGTTTCATTCATGTTTCCCTCATAGTCATGTATAAACCTATTAATCCATGTTTGGGTAAGTATGGGTCCGTCTAGTTCATCATATACACTACAAGTATGTTCCCACAATGTGGAGGCACAGATACATTTCGGACTCCTTACCTCTTCCGGTTCCCAAATTTGGTCCATTTGATGTTCCTCCCTTGGATTGAGACCGTTTCATCATGTTTCTCCTCATAGTCATGTATAGAACCTATTAATCCATGTTTGGGTAAGTATGGGTCCGTCTAGTTCATCATATACACTACAAGTAAGTTCCCACAATGTGGAGGCACATAGATACATTTCGGACTCCTTACCTCTTCCGGTTCCCAAATTTGGTCCATTTGATGTTCCTCCCTTGGATTGAGACCGTTTCATCATGTTTCTCCTCATAGTCATGTATAGAACCTATTAATCCATGTTTGGGTAAGTATGGGTCTGTCTAGTTCATCATATACACTACAAGTAAGTTCCCACAATGTGGAGGCACAGAGCTACATTTCGGACTCCTTACCTCTTCCGGTTCCCAAATTTGGTCCATTTGATGTTCCTCCCTTGGATTGAGACCGTTTCAGTCATGTTTCTCCTCATAGTCATGTATAGAACCTATTAATCCATGTTTGGGTAAGTATGGGTCCGTCTAGTTCATCATATACACTACAAGTATGTTCCCACAATGTGGAGGCACAGATACATTTCGGACTCCTTACCTCTTCCGGTTCCCAAATTTGGTCCATTTGATGTTCCTCCCTTGGATTGAGACCGTTTCAGTCATGTTTCTCCTCATAGTCATGTAGAACCTATTAATCCATGTTTGGGTAAGTATGGGTCCGTCTAGTTCATCATATACACTACAAGTAAGTTCCCACAATGTGGAGGCACAGAGATACATTTCGGACTCCTTACCTCTTCCGGTTCCCAAATTTGGTCCATTTGATGTTCCTCCCTTGGATTGAGACCGTTTCATCATGTTTCTCCTCATAGTCATGTATAGAACCTATTAATCCATGTTTGGGTAAGTATGGGTCCGTCTAGTTCATCATATACACTACAAGTAAGTTCCCACAATGTGGAGGCACAGAGATACATTTCGGACTCCTTACCTCTTCCGGTTCCCAAATTTGGTCCATTTGATGTTCCTCCCTTGGATTGAGACCGTTTCATCATGTTTCCCTCATAGTCATGTATAAACCTATTAATCCATGTTTGGGTAAGTATGGGTCCGTCTAGTTCATCATATACACTACAAGTAAGTTCCCACAATGTGGAGGCACAGAGATACATTTCGGACTCCTTACCTCTTCCGGTTCCCAAATTTGGTCCATTTGATGTTCCTCCCTTGGATTGAGACCGTTTCATCATGTTTCTCCTCATAGTCATGTAGAACCTATTAATCCATGTTTGGGTAAGTATGGGTCCGTCTAGTTCATCATATACACTACAAGTATGTTCCCACAATGTGGAGGCACAGAGATACATTTCGGACTCCTTACCTCTTCCGGTTCCCAAATTTGGTCCATTTGATGTTCCTCCCTTGGATTGAGACCGTTTCATCATGTTTCTCCTCATAGTCATGTATAACCTATTAATCCATGTTTGGGTAAGTATGGGTCCGTCTAGTTCATCATATACACTACAAGTATGTTCCCACAATGTGGAGGCACAAGATACATTTCGGACTCCTTACCTCTTCCGGTTCCCAAATTTGGTCCATTTGATGTTCCTCCCTTGGATTGAGACCGTTTCATCATGTTTCTCCTCATAGTCATGTATAAACCTATTAATCCATGTTTGGGTAAGTATGGGTCCGTCTAGTTCATCATATACACTACAAGTATGTTCCCACAATGTGGAGGCACAGATACATTTCGGACTCCTTACCTCTTCCGGTTCCCAAATTTGGTCCATTTGATGTTCCTCCCTTGGATTGAGACCGTTTCATCATGTTTCTCCTCATAGTCATGTATAACCTATTAATCCATGTTTGGGTAAGTATGGGTCCGTCTAGTTCATCATATACACTACAAGTAAGTTCCCACAATGTGGAGGCACAGAGATACATTTCGGACTCCTTACCTCTTCCGGTTCCCAAATTTGGTCCATTTGATGTTCCTCCTTGGATTGAGACCGTTTCATCATGTTTCTCCTCATAGTCATGTATAGAACCTATTAATCCATGTTTGGGTAAGTATGGGTCCGTCTAGTTCATCATATACACTACAAGTATGTTCCCATAATGTGGAGGCACAGAGATACATTTCGGACTCCTTACCTCTTCCGGTTCACAAATT